CTGTGGTAGAAGAGTAGGACCAGGGGGCTAAGGAAGGAGAGAACAGCTTCCTAGTTTTGTTTGTGGGATTTGCTATAATATCAAGACTTGAAAACAGCCATCTTCTACAAAACTCTTCAAATGCTTTCACCGTGAGGAGAGTAATTCCTTCTCGCCCATGTCATATACGTTCCTGCTTTGTTCTGGAAGTCAGGGTACATCTGTGCGTTTAAAAGACGATAGCACAGCTACATCCCCTCCCTGGAGATGGAGGGTTCGTGTTTGGCACGAGCATCCAAACTTCTAAGACCATATTTAGAAGCAGAGCCCAGCTAGCGTGAAACATCGCAAAGATGCAAAGAGAAGGCTCTGTGCTAAATCTCGGGATCAGGTTCAGTGTCAGCAAATAAAAAGGAAGTTGCTAGAGGAGCATGTTTTTCACTTGCCCCAAGATAATGTTTTTGATTCCCGTGCAGCTGGTGAGTTAGCAATTGGCCAAACGTCTTTGTTGGGGAATAAATGCGTGAAAACTGCCGTGAAACAGCTCGTTTCTATTTGATGCTTATAACTCATGCAGCAAGAGGATTTTGCTGGCACAGTTTTTGGTGGAGGAACAAATAAGAATGATAGCTGAAGTGACTCAGGCAACACTGGACAGCATTGTATTTATGTCAGTGATGCAGACCAGTCCGAGTCACCGGTCACCGTGTGCTGCTTCTGCTGACGGGTCCTTGAAGGACCAGAGGAGTGTGCCAGGTCCCAAACTGGTGAGTCTACAGACCCTGCTGTAGGAAAACCAAGCACAGGTGCTCCTCCGTGTAAGGGCTATGGGTGTCGAGAGAACTGTGATAAATCATTTGCATCAGCTTCTCCTTCAAAAAGTTTTCTCTGTTTGGGGTTTTCTGTTTGGTTTTCTTGAAGACAGGGACGGGACTGAGCTAATTCTTTAGATTTCATGTTTTATAGTAGATCTTGTGTGAAACCTAAAACTGGTATGGTCTGTTTAGAAAATACTGTGGTGGGTTTTTAGCCTGCCTCTTGCTCAGGACAGAGCTGCGTAGGTGTAAATTTCAGACCGTGGTGCCCCTGAATATCGAACCTGTGGCTGTGCCTGACGTGCCTGCAGAGAGCCTTTAGTCATTCTTCTTTTGGCGCTCAGGTTCATTTACATTCAGTGGAATATCATGTCGCAGTGACACTTTACCTGACTGTAACAAATGCAAGTGCTGGATTTTTTTTTCGTATTTTTAAAAAGCTGATTTGAAAGGACAGCCGCGCAGAAGCAGTTTGCTGAGGTGAGCATTGTTCAGCGGAGTAGTTACCCGCAAGTCTGTCTGAAATGCTGGCCAAGGGATGTCATGAGTAACTTACAAATCTTCTCCTCAAGGAAGAAATTGTGTATCAAATGATCTGTTCTTGATTTGTCTGTCATTACTGCATATGCATGGAAAGGCCATAGGTTATGTCCTTCTGAAGGATGTAATTATAAATGTCCTTCTGAATTATATAGTAGAAATCATCAGCATATTAGAACAAGGTCTTGCTGTCTGTGGTGTCTACAGCCTGAAGAGCAACGAGCATGGCCGTGAGTGAGGGCCTTTCAGGTGAATGCTTGCACCTCTGACATCTTCAGCTGGGTGTTTTTAAAGATCATTCTCAAAACTTTGAGTAAAAATAGAACTGCTAATCGGTTAAAAATAAGATTTCTGCATGTACAACCTTGCTTGGACAGTTCCACCGCGCTGCCACCTCTCCCCGTTGACCAACCTTAGAGCAAGTATTTTATAGCAGTCTTTACATTTGAAATGAGATTCCTTCCTTTAAAAGTTTGTCTTGGCTACTTGATCACTGTGAACAAAAATAGATAGTTTTTACAAAGACACTTAGCTTTCTTACAACAGAAGAATTACTGGGAAGTGAGGAGAGGAATGCGACTGAGCCACTGGCTAAAACCAGCTCCAGTTGCAGCTGAGACTTTACCCTGTGTAACAGTTTGTCATGAAATGCTCTGTCCTTGTCCTTCCTGTTGAATTTTGCTTCTGGCATTTCTCTGCAAGAATAATGTCAGTATCCCAGGAGTCTACCACTGCAGGGACAGATAGGCTGGAGTTTAAAAACTTAATTTCTGGGAGAAAGTCTGGCTGTGGCATTGGCGTATAGTGAAATGCCACGCAGCAAAGTGAAATGGAGGCACTCACGTTTTAAGCAGTTCTTTTTTTAATTTTGATCTGTGTGCAGGTGGCAGGATAAACCAAGTAACAGCCCACGGCTGGTGCAGTCAGGGGCCTGATGCAGAGTGGGAGCAGAGGGGGAGTGTTCTCTGCAGCTGCCCGGGCTCTTGTTAGTTGTTGGACACCTGCCAGTCTCCTGTCAGCTTCTTGGTGGTGAACAGTCACGTCCTGGACCTTTTACTAGCGTTGCCCTTTAGCTTCTCTGCCTCCTCAGGAGTAGCGTGGCATTCACAGCCATGCTGGTGTTGTTCCAGATGAAGACTCTGCAATTAGTTCCTCCCCATCAATGCGCAGCGTTGCGCTCAGGCTGTGTTTTCTGTGCTCTTAGATTTTTGTGCTGCATCAACTTGCCTCGCTTCCTTCTCCCACCATCCCCGTTCTGCTTAACCCGTGATCAGTCTCCTTAAGCAGCTGCTTCGTTCTGCATCACATGTCTGCGCAGGTAACCCACTTCCTGATTTATTCATACTAATGTGTATCTGTAGGCTTTTGCCCACTCCAGACTTAGCCATACTCTGAGCATCTTCCATCCTGCTAAGCCATCTGTCCTGACTAACACGCAGTCCCAGGAATTGTCAAAGCCGTTGCGTCCCTTGGCAAGCAGTTGCTTGTGCTTAGCAGAATGACTTTGTGTGTTGGAGTCCACGAACGATGTCCTGTGATGCTAAATCATGTTCAAAAACGTTAATAGGGCAGGTTTTTTTCTTCTTACTGCCACATTCTTGGGGTCTGGCGGGTTCATCGCTGTAAATCTGCTCTGCCCTCTGGTCTGCCAGCTCTGGTGGTTTGGATCTGGCTGGAGGCAGCACCCAGCTCTTCGGGAGGGTAGTGGAGAAGGCTCAGAGGGCATCCCTGGAAGACTTGGGATGGTTTCTGACGTCTAGTAGTTGACTTCAGCCATGAGCAAGGTGCATTAGATCTGTCCCAAAACTCTCTTTTAGTAGTCTAGCACTGAGTACTGCGGGAGAGCTGACAGCCATTTGCTCCAATATTGCTGCTTAGTATATGTGTTCAGTACTTGAATTAATGTTTTCTTCTTTTTTTTACGTTTTTATTTGACTGTTCAATTCCCTGGACTGTGAGGAAGGGGACTGTTGAATAATTACCTGCTCCATAATAAATTAGTGTGAAAAGGCAACTGGTGCCATGCATCAACTTAAACTGCTGTCTGGTAAAGTTGCATTAATGTGTATAAATAATGTATATCTTTGCAGAGGAAGTGCTTTGTCATTCTAATGAACAGTTGCCTGATTGGAGAGGCCAAAAGACTGTATACCCTTGCAAGAAAGGTTGTGTTTCACATGTGCCTAGATTATTAAAGTGGATTCGTGACCCTGTAATTTCAACTGGGAAATACCTTATTTACCAGAATTTGCTAAAGAATTTCAAAAGATCTTGTGAGAAACCAGCTAGCAGATGACCTTGTGTTTTGGGGACTGCTCTCTCTTCCACCTCAGGAAGAAGAATAAGGATTTTTCTGTATTTTAGCACATACGTTATGTTTTAAGGAGTGATGCAAACTGCCACGAAACAGCCGGTGATTCACTTGTTGCTCTGTAGTAGGCAGCAAGCATTTCGCTGTGTGTTGGTTCAGAAATGGCCTGCAGAATAACCACTACAGCTGACTAATTAACAGCTAAGCCAGGATAGCAGCATCACTTGCATTTAACTGAAGATAACTCAATTACGACATTTGTCGAAAGTCTAAAAATTCACACTTCTTTGTTCACAAAAAAAAACCACAACAAAACATGTGGTTTTACACGTTCTTAGTATCCGCAGCCGGCGGTCACTGAAAGCAGATGGTGCAAATCTTCACTCCCATCCCACTGCAGTGGCTTGAACTGTGTCTCCCCTGTGTTTCTAGGGGTCGCTTGGTCTTGGATGGGAAGAGAACTGGTGCTTATGTAAACATTGGAAGCAATTCCAGTGTCCATTATTTTTTAATCTTGTCCTAAAATCCTGTCTGTTCCACAGGATATAATATTACATAAAGGGTGTAACTATGGACAATCTAGTCTATCCCAGGCCACACTTAGCACATCTAAACACAGAATAAAACTTTTGTCTGCCAGTTCTCACAGAATTGGTGTGCACTAAAGAGCCAGTTAAACCCCGGGCAGGCAGGCAGTTCAGTGAAGGGAAGCTTGTGCAGACCAGCCTGACAGCCTCAGGTGCACAGTAAAATACAAATTGTACTTGTGTATTGTGTTGGTACAAGGCCAACCCAAAGGGACTTGTGTTCTGGGATTTGTAGCTTAGGGCACTCCGAACTCCTCACCATGATTGAGGTTCAGCCTCATTGTACATAAATGTGCTTTGGGGTTTTTTTTTGTTGTTGTTTTGGGGGTTTTTTCTTTCCTTCAGATGCAACTTCTGTAAATGATTTTTTTTTCTTCCTGTCACTTAGCAGAAGGAAGTTTATTTGCAAGAAAAGGGGAGGGGGAGAGAACTTCACTTCTGTTCCATCTCGATACAGTGCTTCTGTTCTAAGCCCGCTGAGTGAAGCGTTAGAAAAACAACTCGGTGGGGGAGATAATTCACTGGCTGTTTAATACACCCATGCTGTCACTAACCAGAGAATGTAAAGTATCTGTAAAATGAGCAAAAGCAGCCCAGTAACCTGAGGCTCATGTCAGTCTTCTTGAGAGCCCCAGTCTGGAGCAGAACTATCTCACCTTCTCCAACTGGAAGACACATGTGGCCTTCAGATGGGCAGCAAAGTCCCTGCAGGTGTGTGACTGGCAGCTGCACTGATGCCGGTGTCTCTTCCTCTTGTCTCCTTGCTAGCTAAAGACTTGGAGCGTCGATGAGCTTCAGAAGAGGCTCTCAGCCCTGGACCCCATGATGGAGCAGGAGATTGAAGAAATCCGCCAGAAGTACCAGTCGAAGCGGCAGCCGATCCTCGATGCCATTGAAGCCAAGAAGCGGCGGCAGCAGAACTTCTGAGCCACTGGTAGAATGTTCTTCCATCCTCAAACAATCAGCTCCTTGCTTTTATGACTACTAAACAGATTGATTTCTATTGAAATATGCTAGCGAAATAGAGGGCAATACTTCTGCTCATTTATTTTTCCATAGCACCTTTGTGAACTCAGGAAAAAAAAATGGTATGTTTTAGTGTTCAACATGTATTTAAAATGTTATTCCGAAGGAGTTCTGTTACTGTTTTTAGGGAGATTGTTTTTAACTGAGAGGAACAGATAGAAATAGGCTGATGGAAGTTGGCTCACTCTCTTTTCAACTGAACTTTCAGTAGTCCGTTTTGATTTAAGTTAATACGGATTGTGGTATTTAACGCCTGCATCTTTTCATGGGTTTTGTTTTTGTTTTTCATTGTGAAAGCATAGACTCAATTTCAAGCTGTAAACTGTATCTTTCTACTTTTAAGGTACTGCGAAATTTTAGGTCACTGGAGAGAGCAGGTGAGAACATGTACAAACCGCTCCAGCCTTTTGAAAGAAACTTAAAGCTCGTTTTTTAAAAAGCCTGTAATATGCCCCATGCCTTACACTGTTGCTTTAAGCAAGTGTGGTTTCTTCAAGACCTCAGTTTTTTCCTCTTCTTGTGTGCTTTATGAATTTATACGACTAGATAAAGCATGTTGTGCCTCAGTCAGAGATTACAGTCTGTAATTTAAAACCCACACCAACTTAAAACCAAAAGCCAACTGGTGATCTGATTCTCCTTTGTCTGTCTGTTTGGAAATGTCCTTCAGGGAGACCCTGCTGGTGAAGCACTGGGAAAAGGTAATGATGTTCAAATGGGTGGAAATTGGGTGACCCTCTCTCAGGAATTACGTACTTCCGCTGTGTCTGAGAGGACTTCAAAATCTCCACAGTTTATGAAATATTTTATAGGCTTCATTTCAGATTTACATCTTTAGATGCTTGAATAAAAGCTTAATTTCACAATCCTTCACATTTCTGCAAGGTTTAGCACATCAGAAGAGTTGAACTGAAAGCAAAGACTTTGTTGAATTAAGCAGGATGTGCAGTTATGGTGGTGGAGCAAAGGCAGAGTTGATCTGGATGAGAAGACAATTACTGATATCCCACTGGAAGAGATTCAGTCACTTCTCTTCTAGTTCCTTTGGATGCTCTTGTGTTTTTTCTTTAAATTTCCCTGCCATTCCTGCCCAGTGTAGCTCAGTCAATGAAAACGCCTCGGTGTGTACAATCACTGTGAGGATGGTGCAATTAACTCACACCACTAGAGTGGAGAGTAAAACAGAAGAAGCAAAGAGCCTCGTTTTAGAGCAGAGACCAAGTGATGCCTCTGCCCCGTGGGCTGTGCCAGCAGAGGGATGTAGTTTTAGATGTGTCTAGTGCATAATGAAGTGTTCAGGCAGAGCACGTATTTCTGCCAATTTATTTTTATTTTGCTGCAATAGAGGGAACAGTTTCCATGTCATTCTCCTGAAACAGGCCTTGGTACATCACCTAGATAATTAAACTAAATAGCAGTGTCTCCCAAATCAAATGCTGCTAGAGAGGTGAAAAGTTCATTTCACGCCTCTGTAGGCTCTTCTTTTTTCCCTTGGAGCAGGCTCTTGGCTACTGTTACCAGGTATACTCCATTGCTGTGAAAGGAACCAAGCCATTTTCACCCCCTCGGCAGATCTGGTTGCATCGGTTTGTCTTGGTTCGATACGCGGTGCCAACACGGATGTTCTGGAGATCAGGACACCAGCTGTCCCTGCGGGAGGCAGCGAGCGGTGCATCTTGGGTGCTGAAATAAGAGCTCATCCTGGGGTAACCGGCTCTTTGATAGCTTCAACTACCAGGGAAGCTTTGAAATTAGGAAAACCAAGTAATTAAAAGCTTGTTAATGGACTAAAATCCCTTAGTCTGGACTCTGCAATGAAGTCCAGTGAAGCGCTGTGTGAACATCAAGGCTCATACAGTGCTCGTCTGAAATCCACGCAATACGCTTTGCCCTAAGTGTGTGTTTGTTACGAGCAATATTTGTGAGCGTCCTTTTGCATCAAAGAAACTCCCACAACTTGGGAGGAGTTCTCTGGTCAAGTGTTGAATCTTGTATGAGTCACTTGGATGGACAGACGTACAGATATGTGGCACTGCTCGCCTTGTGGCGTGGGTCAAGCAGGTTCTGCCGGGAGTAGTTTTACCTCTGCACTTGTAGGTAACTTTCTAGTGGTCTGAGGGCATTAGAAAACCCAATTTGTAGGTGAAACGCCCCAGGGTGGTATCTACAGAATATGCAACCTATGACTGCTGTAACTGAATGTAAGCACTCTTGAAATTCTCTGCTTTGCTGATGCGATTGTCTTAAAATACAGCAAATGAACCAAAATAAGTAGAACTGGTCCAATGGCTTAACTGTCTTTGAACCTTTCTTAAATGCTTGCAGTAGCTGAGACTTGATGATGTTTCTTGCACTTGGAGCTCTAATGCAGAGGAATTATTTTCTCCTTCACTGGTTTTCAATCTGTTAGAGAATAATTCCCTTTTTGGTCCCTTTGTAGAGTGTCTGGGAGCATAGTACGTGCTCGCTTCTCAGAGTCCTCCAGGCTAAGACCAAGGCTCGTACCATAAGGGAAAGCTATTCTGACAAAGTTTTAAAGCAAAAGCTCGTTTAAGTGTGAAGCCGCGTTCGTGTGCTCCTTGGGCCCATCTGCATTGCTGAAAGGGTTCTGGACAAACCTTTATCTTTGCTTCTGAAACCCAGAGATACTGATTATGTCAGTCACGTGAGACTTAAAAATGTGAAGTTTGTAGCTTTAACTTTTTTGTAACAAAGAAATTAGCAACACTGGCATAAAGTGCTGACTTGAAATGCTATTTTGTAAGATCTGGCTGTTTGTATATAATAGTGTTGGGTCATTAGTTTGTATATGTATGAAATAGTAACTTTTATTGCATTCCTCTGAGTTTGATACAGGAAATTTTGTTTGATCTGTCTCAAATATCTTGCCTTATTTGTTCCAAGGGGCAAATAAACTGTCCTTACCTGAATGCATCAGTGTTGTGACTCGCTATTTATGCATTAGAATACTCTGGTGTGTTATTGCTTATCAGGTCAAGTTTTAACATGACACGCCTTTAGTCAACTGATGTTACGTGAAATTCCGGAGGAGCACGCAAGCTTTATTAAACGCAAGTGGTAAACACGTCAGACATGTTTTTAAACAGGCAGCCCAGCCTTTAGACATTACTAATTGTGCACCTCCAGGCGAGGTTGGCTGCAGCAGGGGGCCAGGTCTGCGTGCTGCTGCTCGGCGGGGGTTCGGAAGGATGCGGGGTGGAAGCTGTGGGGCAGTTTCCCCGCAGCGAGGAGCGGGGGAAGCTGGGAGCTGCGGTCGCACAGGGGGCTTGTTTGCCCCAAGGGGTGCTCTGGCAGATGGGGAGGGTGAACTCTGCTGTCGATATTTGCTCTCTCTGCTCCGTTGCTTCATGCTTCAGCAAGTTCGGTGAGCCCGCAGTCAGGTTTGGGAGTGGGTACGTACCAATTTATCCACCTCCCCACGCAACAGGTGAGGCTAGAGGCTCACTCACTTTGTTCTGACTGACTTGCTGCACTTTCAGCTTTCTAGCTTAGAAAAAGATGAGGTTAGCAGTGAGTGGGTGCTGCCTTCCAACGGTGAACTGTTGGCTTCTACGTGCTTTCCCTGAGCAGTTACTAAATCTGTCCTGAAGGGATGACTAACTGAAGCAGAGACAGAATTCATTCAGGAGTCAGCAATCCCGGAAGAAACAAAATAGATCTGAGCTTTTAAATGTTAAGAAGGAGCGTGGAAATCAAAGGGAGGGAGACTGTGGGCATTTCTAGTAACTGGGAAAGCCTGGAGCTCTTACATATTTCCAGCAAAATTACCAGGGCACAGTGCAGTCCCAGTGCAAAGGGAAGGCTGTTCCCCCCACGCAGCAGCAGTGCTGCAGCCAGACCCGGGGAGCGTTCGCCTGCGCTCCCGTCATGCTGCGAGCAGCGTGTCTGCTGCAGGAATATTAATTGCATGTAACTAACAAAACCAACCCTGACAAGTAATGGTGAGCTGGGCTGGTCTTTAGCCAGGTTTTTCTACCCTGTGGGGGGAAAAGTCGACTTTCCACAAATCCCCTAGCACCAGTGGTTTTTGTTCCTCTCTTAACAATTAACAGTACTGAGGTACGGGTTTTGCTGTGCCAGTGTCCCTTCTGCCCAACTACTCTTCTTTACACCCTCATTTCCTCCTGTCCACAGGCCAACAGAGTCTGAGCATGTGTGTTAGATAAATGCTTTGAGGGTTGGCTGACAGCCCTGACTTGAGAGATGACAATTTTTCATTGCATTAATCACTCTGGCAAAATTTGCAAGTGTCAAACCAGGAAACACCCATCAGCTCGTTCCAGACTGAAAGTGACTTAATTGGCCTTTAATTTAAGAGTCCAGGACAGCAGCCAACTTGTTTAAAAACTAAACCAATTCAATTCCATCGAGCACAGCCTGTTCTGCTCCCCTCTAGATTGTTGCTGGTAAAATCAATTCCACACTGGAAGCGGAAGGAGCCCAGAGTCCCTGAATCCAATGCGGGGTGGTCACAGCAGCAGAACTGCCCCTTGCAGACCTGCCTCTGGGCAGCCGGTGGGCAGCTGAGCTGTCGAGTGGCCTGTCCCCAGCTCCATGAGGCTCACAAGCTCTGGACCATCACGTGTGGACCGAGGAGGGGATGATCTTTCCTGGAACAGGCCAGTTTTCCCCTTCTGCTGCTCTCGCCAGATTCGGTGTCTGGCTGTGAACACGCACCCCTGGGGCTGTGCTTCCCTGCATGCCTGGCCTGTGGTTTTCGTTTCCTGAAGCTGTGTGACCTGTCTAGGTGCATTTGGTTAACTTAATTTCACACATTCAAGGCTATTCATTTATCTGTCTCGAACAGCTAGAATGAAGCCTTGAGTTTATGTGTTTCCTACACATAAAGTTAATAGCTATGGTTCAGATAAAGGCTAAAG